CATATAGTCTCTCAAATTTCAGTTGATTGAATGCTGCGTTTTCTTAAGCATTGTTTGAATATGTGATGGAAATGCTCATTGCTTGCATGATTGTGCTCAAGGAAAGTGGGTAAACTTAAATTCCTATATTTTTTTAAAAACAGTTAAGTGCCATTGAGTCTTTTCCAATTCATAGTGATCCTGTATAGTATTTCTGAAGAGTGTCTGGTGGGTTTACGGTTCAAACTGATCTAGTGGTCCAGTGTTTATCCTACCATGCCACACTTAAATGTTTATTAGTAAATATTCCCAGTTCCAGTCAACATTACAAACATGATAGGTTGAAGATTTTAGTTTTCTATATTCAAACTTTGTAATAATGAAGACAACAGTTGGTAAAGGGGATTAAAATATCCGCAAATTTGCCTACTGCTTAATGTCCTTAAAATTCACAATAGTGACTTTGAATTCCATTTGTTGTGATATGCCTATTGTTGTTGTTATATGCTGCGGAGTCGGTTCCGACTCATAGCGACCCTGCACAGGGTTTCCAAGGCTGTTCATCTTTACGGGAGCAGAACGCTTCATCTTTCTCCCGCGAGCAGCTGGTAGCTTCGAACTGCTGACCTTGCGGTTCGCATCCTGATTCATAGCTGATTAATATTACGAGAATTCCTCAAAATTAATTTGAATTAGTTAATGAATTTGGAGACTTATTTTGCTAAACCCAAGCCCAAACCCATTGCCGCCGAGTTCATTCCAACTCAGAGTGACCCTGTAGGACACAGCATAATTGCCTCCATAGGGTTTCTCAGACTGTAATCTTTATAGAAGCAAACAGCTACATCTTTTCTTTTGCTGGTAGCTGGTGGATTTCTACTGCCAACTTTTGGTAGTTCAAACCACGACTCCTTATTGCTGTATAATTTAATAATTACATATCTGGGGTTAAAAAAATGAAGCTTTTTGTTTGTAAAATATGAGGGTAGGTCCAAAAATATTGCTAGAACTAAACTAAAGAAACCTTTATTAAGCAAAAAATAAAAATTCCAAGATTATTCTTGAGAACACTATGGGGACCGTTTTCTTTCCTTATAAGGTCACTGTGATGTGGAATTAACTCAGTGGTGATAGACCACAATGACTGTGATGGTTGCACAACTCTGTGAAGATACAGAACCATTTATTTGTGTATTTAAATTAGCAAGTTATATCTTATGTGGATCATTGTTATTGTTGTCAAGTGCCATCCAGTCAGTTTCTACTCATAGCAACCCTGTATAGGATTTCTGAGGAATGGCTGCTGAGTTTGAACTGCCAACCTTATGGTTCAAATTGACCTTTTAGTCCAGTGCTTATCTTGTTGTTAAGTGCTGTTGAGTCAGTTCTGACTCATAGCGACCCTGTATAGGGTATCCAAGGAGTGGCTGGTGAGCTTGAACCTATTGTTGTTATTGTTGTTGTTGTTGTTGTTAAGTACCATCGAGTCGGTTCTTAACCTATATCCACCCTGTATAGGATTTCCAAGGAGTGGCTGGTGAGATTGAACCGCTGACTTCATGGTTCAATCCAACTTCGCTGTCCAGTGCTTTAAGACTCTGAGCTTGAGTGCCATTAAAAAAAAAAGTCAGTAAGAGGAAAGCATTAGAGTCTTTATATTCAGAAAAATCTCCATTTAAATGATAGTTTGGTCATTTTGGCGAGTTACCTCACCTCTGTGAGATAGTTTTATTATTTTAAAATGGAAATTATATATACCTTAGAATTGTTTTGAGAATTATGAGTAACTTATAACTCTTGTCATATTGCTATTATTTAATAAACTTTAGTAGCTGTTATAATTTATAACTTTATATTACATAGAAAGATCTGGGAGCACAAGGAATAGTGCATTAATAATTGTGATTTGGGGTTCTTGGGGAAGCTTACCTTATAAAAGATGAATGGGAGTTTTCTGGAAAGCAGTGCTAGGAAGTTATCTTGGAACAGGAATAGCCTGTACAGTGGTTTGATGTTATGAAATGATATAGCATGCTTAAGAACCAGAAGCGCGTGCTCAGACATATATGAGAAATACTGTGGTGAATGCAAATACATGTGTATGGGAACCTATATATGACTGTGAACCACCAGGTTGACAGTTCAGATCCACCAGCTGCCCTTGGAAACTCCCTATGAGTTGGAACTGACTCAACAGCACTTAACAACATCAACATACATGATACAGATATATAATTCCTGAGGATGTATGTTACCATCTTGGCTACAAATATTAATGGACTGAATGAAAGGATAGGGATTTTTCATGGTTTAAACCGGTATTAAAGATGAGGCTTTCTACTCCCGTAAAGATTTACACCCTCGGAAACCCTGTACAGGGTCGCTATGAGTCGGTTCCGACTCCACGGCACGTAACAACACAACAATGCCACTAAACTATGTTAGATAAATGAGATCAAGTTTTTTTGTTGCCTTTTATTAAGCACATCATCAGTGTGTACAAAAAGGGATTATGTATTTTATAAAACATCTATAGTAATTTTTTCTTGTTGTATTACCATTGCTTCATTTTATTACGAGAATGTTAAACTTACAGAGATAATTGCACAGTGAACACCCTTGTTTCCATCACTAGAATTTTCTAATTAACCCTATACTATATTTCCTTTATCATATAACATTTTTTATCCATCAGTCTTCTATATTTATCAATCAGTCCTATTTTTTTAAAATCTGTTTCAAACTTGAAGACATCAGTGCACTTCATCTATAATCACTTGAGCATGTAAGGATCTCTCACTAGAGAATCTACAGTTTTGTTTTTTTTTGTAAAACATACATGAAGACACAACAACTCTTACAGTGTACCATTTAATAGTTCAAACCAATTTATATATCTCTGTAATTCAAAACCTCATCAAGATAAAAGCATCCCTTAAACATTATGTTTAGAAATTTTTGAATGGCAACTTTTTTTCCTGTATGTACTTTTACCAAAACTATAATAAGATATATTTCTTTTAAAAAAATCACCCTTGAAATTTCCCTTATGCTACTTCCCAGCCAACCTCTGCCCGCAACCTCCAGAGGTGGTTATTTTTTCTGTTTTGTTTTTTCCTCCCGATTTTTGATTAGTTTAGTCTGTTCCAGGGCTTAATGCAAAAGGAAGCTTTTTTTTTTGGTATAAAGCTTCTTTCATCTTGAGGTTGTTGAGATTTATTCATGTTTTTGTGTTCATCAGAGCTTATTTTTATTGATAAGTATTCTCCTGTGTATGCATGCCACTGTTTACTTACCTGTTTTCCTGTTTGAGGTGTGTGTGGGTTATTTCTGGTTTTTGAATATCATAAATAAAGACCCTATGAACATTATTGTATGTCTTTTTGTGATTATCAGTTTTCCTGGGTAAATACTTAGGACTAAAATTGCTGGTTCCTAAGGTAAGGTGGGTGTCATGAATTTTAATTACAAAAAAAGCAGAATCATTTTTTAAAATAGTATCTTTTATTTTGCTCCTGTTAGTACTGATTGTATGTGTGATGTAAATCTTGTCAGTTCTTTCTTTTATGAACAGTTGTAAAGTCATCATTATTTCTCCTTCCATACACCAACACCACCCCAAATAAGTTGGTAGGAAATGGGTAGCCAGGGATATTTTTTAAACAATAGGCTTATAGATTTCTGCCAAGAGTAATAAATACACAAATTACCCCCTCCATCCCCAACGTGCACACACACTCAGAGGTCATATCTATTCCCCCTAAAGTCAATAATCTTCATCTGATATAAGCTGCCATGATTTAAGTACACAGTTTTGGATTGTGGGCTCAGGTGGCTGTTGCTTCTATTTTTTAGTGTATAGTTAACACTGGCAGTCACCCTTATAATGATGTGACACCAGCTACCTCCAAGAACATTGAATAAGCCATGCCTAGCACAAGAGAACTTGATTTAATTGGCAACAGTGTTTGCCCTCACATGATAGGCATTGAAGTTAAATGGAAGCTATTTGGCTTTGTGTTATCTCTTTCTATAATAACAACAACCAAACATTTCTAAAAGCATCAGAATTACATAATTTCCACTTTCAGGTGCATTTATTGGGATCAAGTATCTAACTTTATTTAGAAACTGAATACTTTAAAGCTATTAAGGGAATACTTGCTGCTTACACTTACAATATTGTCAACAAAATATGTGATTAAATAAATTGAATGTTTAAGACTTTAGGCTTATGGTTAACACCAGGTAATTAAAAGTAAGCACTGCTGTAGGAGTGTATTATATATCAGCTGTACTCTTTACCTCATTAACTGGGCTTTTGCATGTTTATGAGACTAACTTCAATTAAAAATGCCTCTAAGTTATATCTAACAAGGGCTTTTAGTTACTATTTTGGTATAAAGTATTACACTTTAATTGAAAATTGGTTTATCATAAATAGCTGTGTTTGAATAATATACAAGATGCATAACTTTGATTATTTCATTCTTTGTGGGGTGAAAAAGTGATTTGTGTTATACGTATGTTAAAAATTGTTTATACCTGCAGTTTGTTGGCTTACAGGATTTCTAAGTTTTTATGGTTTCAAATTAGAATTGCTTTAAAATCTTTGTAAGTACATGTTGAGTTTTCTATTTCAGTTCTGAAATTAACAAAAAGTTACTTTTCCATTCGAGTGTCAAAATGTTCCTTTCAAAAATATATAAATCTTGGTTATTTTCTATTTAGGTTGGATAGTTAAAGATGATTCTAAATGTGAAAAATATTAGGTGGTATAATATGTTTAAATGTTAGAACAGATTGTTATAATCCCATGGTGTACTGTCATCATTCTAAAAATACTGAGAATGCTGATAAATGCAAGTATGATTGAAGAGATTTCATATCAAGAGAGTATTCTAAATTGTACATTAAAATAGAGTAAAGAAAGAAAAGAAAATTTTTTTCTAGTTTCTCTAGTTCATATCATTTACCTGAGTGATCTGTATTTTTCTCTCTGCTTACTTTTTTCATTACAGGAGTGTCATCATTGCAACCAAAAAGTCGTCAGTCTTACCTTCCACACCAAGTACAAGTATACCTACCAATAATGCTGTCAGTGTGGTTTCTTCTGTTGATTCAGCCCAAGCCTTAGATGTTGGAGCAGAGTCGCCTGGTGAGTTATCAGTGATACAAGCAAACAAAAATTTAGATTCGATGTTAGCAAAATATAGTGTTATAGACAAAGTTAAGAAGTTTTAGTGTTGTCAAGTAGGTTCCAACTCATACCGGCCCTGTACAGGGTTTCTGAGGAGTGACTGGTGGGTTTGCACTGCCAACCTTGTAGTTCACAGTCCAGCATTTATCCTACAGCGCCATAGCAGGAATTCAAGCAGTTTTGTTAACAATTGTGTGTTAATATTATACCGTTGATTGTTTAACAATTTAAAAAAATTAATTTGGTTGAATATACTGTGATATCAAGTAGGTTAAATCAAGGAATTCATTGCTTTCTCCACTAAAACACACTAGTGGGTAATGGATGGATGAATGAATAAATTAATGATAACCCAAACCCACTTCCATGGAGTCAGTTCTGACTCATAGCAACTGTATGGGGTTTCTGATGCTGTAGTCTTTACAGATAATGTTTATAATTATAGTTTTCCTGTTTGTTTATTTTTCCTTTACTTTCAAGTGAAAAGATGTGCATAGTTTATATAAGAAAGTTTCGGTGGCATGTAGTTTCTCAACCTGGATATCAATTGTCAACTGTTTATGTAGCAGGGGATCTTGGCTGAAAGCAGAGAATACCAGCAAGATGTTTACTTGTCCGTTAGTAATGATCTATAATGACATTCTACTGTGTGGATCATAAATTATGAATAACATTGTGAAGAATAGACATTCTAGAATATTTAATTGTGCTTACGTGTAACTGTTGAGATGGCGGATCTGGTAGATGTACAGTGAAGAGCTCTGTCAGCAACAACACAGAATACCGGACCAAGCAGGCCAAGGGGATGGTTCTAGAACTCTGAACCACATATAAAGGAATATAGAAGCTGGGAAGACTTACAGCTAGAGAAATTTGTAGCAGAATCAGATATCCAGCGCTTTCTAATTCAAGATGCTCAGCTGCTTCAGGAGCTGCCATCTTGGGAGGGACCAAGTGGGGGAAGGATCAGAACAGCCATGAACGCCTGACAGAACTGTGGAGATACGGGTGTGGACATTTTTTTTTTTTTTTTTGTAACTGTTCCCTGGTTTTTTGCTGTCTGCCACCTCCATTCTGGTGACTAGAGGGGATGCCTGAATGAATGGACACCCCACCACACCACTGGAGAGTTCTACTATGCATGACACAGATTTCCTTGAAATGTAAAGTCACAATTTTCACTTAAAACCAAATGGCCCCCACTCGTCTGTCAATTGGTCATACTGTGGAGGCTTGTGAGTTGCTGTGATTCTGAAAACTATGCCACCAGTATTTTAAATAACAGCAGGGTCACACATGATGGACAGGTTTCAGATGAGCTTCCAGATGAAGACAGATTAGGACGAAAGAGTGGTGAACTGCTTCCGAATATTTAATCACTGAAAACCTTATGAATAGCAGAGAAACACTGTCAGATACAGTGCTGGAAAATGAGGCCCTCAGGTTGGAAGGCAATCAAAATGCAACTGGGAAGAGCTGCCTCCTCAAACTAGAGTTGACCATGATGACGCGAATGGAGTAAAGCCTGTGGGAGAAAAGCCCCCATGAACTTCATTTGCTGATGGGGCACAACTTAAAACGAAGAGAAACAGCTGTAAACATCCATTGAAAATTGGAACATGAAATGTACGAAGTTGAATCTGGGAAAATTGGAAATTGTCAAAAATTAAATGGAACACATAAATATCGACATCTTAGGCATTAGTGAGCTGAAATGGACTGGTATTGGCCATTTTGAATCTGACAACCACACGGTTTACTTTGTAGGGAATGACAAATTGAAGAGGAATGGAATTGCATTCATCGTCAAAAAGAGCATATCCAGATCAGTCATGAGGTACATGCTATCTGTGATGGAATAAAATCCATGCGCCTACAGGGAAGCCCAGTTAATACCACTATTATTCAGATTTACACAACAATCACTAAAGCCAGTGAGGATGAACTAGAAGAATCATACCAACTTCTTCAATCTGCAATCAAGATGTATTGATCATTAGTGGTGATTGGAATGCAAAGGTTGAGAGCAAAGAGAAAGGATCAGTAGTTGGAAAATATGGCCTTGGTGATAGAATTGATGATGGAGAATGCATGATAGAATTTGGCAAAACCAATAATTTATTCATTTCAAGTACCTTTTTAGACAGCACAAGAGATACACATGGACCTCATCAGATGGAATACATAGAGATCCAGTTGACTGCATCTACGGAACGAGACGATGGAAAAGTCCATATCATCAGTGAAAACAAGGCCAGGGGTAGACTGTGGAACACACCATCAATTACTCATATGCAAATTCAAACTGAAGCTGAAGAAAATGAAAACAAGTCCATGAGAGCCAAAATAAGACCTTGAATATATCCCACCTGAATTTAGATATCAGTTGAAGAACATATTTGTTCCATTAAACACTAAAGACTGAAGACCAGAAGAGTTGTGGGATGATATGAAGAACATCATACAGGAAGAAAGCAAAACATCATTAAGACAAGAAAGAAGAAAAAGGTCAAATTGGATGTCAGAAGAGACACCAAAATTTGCTCTCCGGCATAGAGATGCTAAGGCAAATGGAAGAAATGAGGAGGTCCAAGAGCTGAACAGAAAATTTCAAAGATCAGCTCGAGAAGATGAAGTCAAATATTACAAAAAAATGTGCAAAGATCTGGAATCAGAAAACCAAAATGGAGGAACACACTCAGCAATTCTCAAGCTGGGAGAACTGAAGAAAAAAATTCAAGCCTTGACTTTCATTATTGAAAGATGCACTGGGCAAATTATTGAATGATGCAGAAAGCATCAAGAGATGATGGAAGAAATACACAGAGTCACTATATCAAAAGGAAATGGTTCAACCATTTCAAGAGATAGCATATGATCAAGAGTCAATGATACTGATGGAGGAAGTCCAAGGTTCATTGAAGGAATTTGTAAAGAACAAGACATCAGAAACTGGTAGAATAAAAATTGAAGTGTTTCAAGAAAGTGAGGCGACATAGGAGGCACTCACTCATCTATGCCAAGAAATTTGGAAGACAACTATCTGGTTGACTGATTGGAAGAGATCCATATTTGTGCCCATTCTAAAGGGAGGTGACCCAACGGAATGCGGAAATCATCGGACAATCTCTTTGATATCCCACGTGAGTAAAGTTTTGCTAAAGGTAATACAGAAACAGCTACAATCATACATTGACAGAGAACTTCCAGAGGTTCAGAAGAGGCCGTGGAACAAGGGATATCATTGCTGATGTCTGATGGATCTTGGCTGAAAACAGAGAATATCAGAAAAATGTTTACCTATGCTTTATTGACTACGCAAAGGCTTTCAGTTGTGTGGATCATGACAGGCTATGAACAACATTATGAAGTATGAGTATTCCAGAACACTTAATTGTGCTCATGAGGAATTTATACCTGGACCATGAAGCAGTTGTTTGAACAGAACATGGGAACACTGAATGTTTTAAAATTAAAAAAGGTATGTGATAAGGTTATATTCTTTCACTTCCATGCATCATCAGCCAATCAAAGGGTATACCCTGCAAGCCTGTTTTCTGTCATCAGCACACAGCCCCTGTCCCTCTCTGTGTCTAGAGTCCCCAGCTGCTCCATGTCTCCATGTCATCGTCTCTGCCTCCATCTCTGGCTTCACTGCTTGTTTGGGTAGTGTCCCACAGTTGTCCCTTCATAGTCCCAGGAACCTCCGCTCTCCTGGACTGCAAAGCCAACCACTCCCCTCCTTTTGCTACAAAATGTCTACCTTTACATTTCCAACCCTCACAGTCAGTCTTGATAACAGTTATTCACTATTTTACCACAAGAGTCGTATCTTTATCTCCTTTCATTAGCCTTGCCCAGACAGATTGGGTACTTACTACTCAGCGGAGATTCTGCCTTCTTCCGCACCCTCTGGATCTAGGCTCTCCCTTGAAAGCTTGTAAGCCAGTCACCTCTTGCCTTTGTAGCCCCCCCTCCATTTTGGGTAGTCAATGTCCAAGTTGCCTATCTCCGTCAACCCTGTGTATTGAGGGGGTGGGAATCATCCACCCTGTAAAGATATGTTCCCTGTTTTGAGCTACTGCATCCATAGATGTAGGTCAAGTTCATCAAATTGTATCAGATTACCCTTTTTTGCCTCCTTTTTTTTCTTGTATAGTTGAGTTCTGATCATCCAGCCAATGAAGCCAGGTCAAGTGAGTGTTACCTGTAAGTGTGGGTGTTCTTGTGCATATGCCCTCTCTTCTTATCAGCTGGATGCTTCACTGTCCACTGTAGTCCTCTGTGACTATGTCACTGACTTTGGGCCCAGGAGTCCCCAGGTCTTGTGATACTGCTGGCCAACCAGCTCTCCACCTGGGTTCACAGGAGTCTGTTGAATGTGGTAGTAGTTAGCTCACAGCTTCATACTGTGTTTCCTTCACTTCCCCTTATTGGTGACCAACGTGGTCACCACGTTGCTCTTCTTTTCAGCCTTTTAGCCAAGTGACCCTCAGACTTTGCCCTGCTAGGGCAAATGTTATAAAGCTTCTTTTAGCCTGTCTGTATATGCCCAAAGGACACATTCTGCAAGCCAGCCTCCTGCAATAGGCACTAGGTTTTATTCATTCCATGGGCCAGGAAGCCCCCAGCTCTTCTGCCTTTCCCTGTCACTGACTCTACTACTGCTTCTTTTCTAGGAAATCCTTCTACACTCTCATGGCTCTTCTTTTTTAATGATCTGGGATCATCTGCTTCTGCTGTTTTGGTGACTCCATTGAAACCTAGTGAATGGCAAAACTAATCAATCCCCTTAGAGTCCTGTACACTCTATTTACATGGTCACACTCAGTTACTATGATTATAATTGTTCTCATGAGAAACCTTTGCATAGAACATGGGAACACTGAATGGTTTAAAATTAGAAAAGTTGTGCACCAGGGTTGTATTCTTTCACCATACTTATTCAGTCTGTATGCTGAGCAAAAAATTCTAGAAGCAGGATAATATGAAGAAAAATGTGTCCCTCAGGGTTGGAGGAAGACTGATTAACAATGTGCAATATGCAGATGACACAGCCTTTCTTGCATAAAGTGAAGAGGATTTAAAATTCTTATTGATGAAGATCAAAGACCACAGCCTTTAGCACAGGTAGCACCTCTATATAAAGAAAACAAAAATCCTCACTGCTTGTTCAATAAACAACATCAAAATAAATGAAGAAAAAAATTGAAGTTGTCAAAGACTTCCTTTTGCTTGTATCAGCCATCAACAATCATGGAAGCAGCAATAAAAAAATCAAGTGACATATTGGGTAAATGTGCTGCACAAGAACTCTTTAAAGTGTATATGAAAAAAGATGTTTGTTTGAGGAGTAAAGTGCACCTGACTCAAGCCATGATATTTTCTGTAACCTCATATGCATGTGAAAGTTGGACAGTGAATATAGAAGACCATTTAAAAATTGGTGCGTTTGAGATATGGTGTTGGAGGTGAAGATTAAAAATACCATGGACTGCTAAAAGTATAAACAAATCTTTGTGGGAGAAATACAGCCAGAATGCTCCTTAGAAGCCAGGATGGCCCGACTTCATCTGTCATACTTTAGACATATTGTCAGAGGGACCAGTCCCTGGAGAAGGACATCATGCTTGGTAAAGTGGAAGGTCAGTGACAAAGAGGAAGACCCCCAACAAGATTGATTGGCACAGTGAAAGTAGCAATGGGCTCAAGGGTAGCAACGATTGTGAGGCTGGTGCAGGACTGGGCAATGTTTCATTCTGTTGTGCATAAAGTTTCTATGAGTCAATATTGACTCAATGGGTCCTAACACCAACAGCAACCCAATTATTTGGTAATAGTCCAGAAGACTTAGGATAGAAAAGCCATATTAAGTAAATTCACAGTACCACATGAATCTTCAGTATGGATTATAACTCAATATTTGA